GGGGGGGCGTGGAATAATTTTAATACATGTAATCAAATTTATTTTTGTCGGTGACGGTCTTTTCTTGTTATTGATGCAAAAATAGTATCGGGGTCATCGTCATCAGCATCATTATCATCATCAGTAACAGCAACAACAACAGCAGTAACTGGGTAGCAGAAGCAAGAGCAGCAACAACAGCAGCAGCAATATGGTGAAGACGAGAAGGTAAAAGAAAAAGAGAGATATCTTTCCTGTCTTTTGTGCCCCTGTAGTACCGTAGTTACAGTTAATGTTGTTTCGTTATTCACCGACAGAGAAGAGGTTTGAGACCCCTAGAAAGATTGACACTTTCTTCATGCATTCTGTATGAACTAGATCTATGTTGCGAGACAGAAAGAGAGAGAGAGAGAGAGAGAGAGAGAGAGAGAGAGAGAGAGAGAGAGAGAGAGAGAGAGAGAGAGAGAGAGATGGGGGGAGGGAGGGATTTTTGTGTGTTTACATTTTATTAGTCTTTATTGACAACCAGCAAAGAGCAAGCGAGATTCGGATGCCAATTTGGCGGGAACCAAGCGGAATTGGCACTGTCAGTAGGCGCTAGATCTAAGTGCAAAGCCTAACTGCCTCTCTCACTGGGGGTTTTGGCTGCCAGCTATGATGAAATCACACATACTGGCCTTCAAAATCCCAAACGAGAAGGTTTGAACATCTACCATTGGAGCGGAGATCACACAGACATGGAGGAGAGATGTGGACGATAGATGTTCGATAGGAAAGAAGGAGCAAACCACACCAGAGCGCCCACCAACTACTTACAGAAGAATTTTATTTTAAAGTGACCTTGCCAAACAAATCCAAGGAAGGCTGTGCTTCGATCGGTACGTGTTGATCATTTCTCTTCAGACAAGCTCGAATACACCGCTGGAAATTTTTAATAACCCTGTAGCATGTTTCTGGGTCGATTCTTTAGGACCTCCTGTTCAATAAGTGTTGAATTGTTCATCGTTGTTTCCCATAAACCCTGTATTTAAAAAAATTTTAATAAAAAACTGAGAAAGAACTGTACTTCGAATGTGAGACTTTTTACTTAATTTTGATAGCGATTTTAAAAACTTGATATTTTTCGAACACATCTCCTTTTTCCCCAGTATCCCCCCCCCCCCTTCTCTCTCTCTCTCTCTCTCTCTCTCTCTCTCTCTCTCTCTCTCTCTCTCTCTCTCTCTCTCTCTATCTTTTTCTCTCTCTCTGTTCAGGTATATGTATGTTAGTATATCACTCTGTTCAGGTTGGTGTTATAGCGCATCCATCAACACAATTTAAATCATTTAGGAGGCGGGCTTCGGACCCTGCCTGTCAGAGCCAACCTGGGTTGAGAGGGATACAACACCCTAGCAGAAAGATGAAGATACTTGACAAAATTTTCTCCCCACTCCAGAATCGAACTCGGTCTCCTGGGCGCGACAGCAAAACACTTAACCCACTGCACACAGACGCCTGTCACTCGGAGGACACAGATTTAATTGTGGTGTGTCAGTGTGTGGGAAACTTTTCCGGGCACCAATAATATATATTCAGGTGTGTGTGGATGTTGCTTACAGGTAGTCTACTGTTTCTTCTTTGTCACTCCTTGTTACTGCGAGTAAATCGCTAGTTGGATGTGTGTGTGTGTGTGTGTGTGTGTGTGTGTGTGTGTGTGTGTGTGTGTGTGTGTGTGCGTGTGAGTGCGCATGCGCGCACGTGTGTGTGTGTGAATGTATGACCTTAAACCTCTATCACTGTATATTACATCAGAGCATAAATCACAGTCTGTGTTTGTTTATGTACAAGTGAGTGTGTGTGTCAGTTTTTAAACAGTCACTATACCTATATTTCGAAAAATGCATTTTTGCATGTATTGATATTGCTAAATATACTCAAAGAAGGTGGAGACTATCTAAACTGTATGCTCCAGTTGAGGACCATTTCCCTCCAGACAATCCCCGGGGGCTCTCGTGGCCTAGAGGTTAAGGTGTTGGCCTCTCATTCAAAGGTCCCGGGTTCGAATTCGGGTAGCGACCCGAAAAATTTTCTTCTCTAAAATTAAAATTGTCTCCTTTCACCACTTTTCCTGCTCTCTAGCAATGTTCTGTTGTCTGCTTTCACTTCCACTTTCTGCCCCCACCCCCTCACCTCCTTTTCCCCCTCCTCTGGGCTCCTGACTCTTTCTGCAGCCTTTCTATGCTACTCCTTGGCTCCTCCTTACTGCTGTCTTTCTGCCACATCCCTGATCTTCTGGTAGGAAAGATCTACACCTAGCCTTCTCGGACAAGGGCGAAAAATCTCGGAGGACCCGTGTGCAGGTTGCGCACGTTAAAGATCCCTTGGTGGTCTTAAATCGATAAGAGTAGGCTTCGGCCGCCACCCGGGCAAAATTCAAAAATTTTCTACCAACTGAAAATAGTAGGTGTGTCCCGCGCGCTCATATGACCTTATGCAGTTGCGAACGCCGTAAAACACTTTACAAAAACAAAACAAACAAGACAATCCCCTACACAAGCCACTAAAAATGTTGAACATCCCTGTGGCACGTTCCTGGGTCGATTCTTTGGACTTCCTGTTCAACACTGTTTTTCAACTCTTCGATTGTTTGTGGGTTCTTTGCGTAGACTCTTGTCTAAAAAAAAAATAATAATAATAATTGAAGGGGTAATGCGGTGACCATTCATTTGCACGCTTCTGGCTGATAAAAGTGTTGCCCAAACCTTTCTTGCAACCAAACAAGGGCCACTCTTGGTGTGTGGGGTATGGCCCCATATCCAACTAGAACAAAACCTCCTCAACAGCTCAACAGTTTGTCCTCCCCAAATTTCTTCTAAAGGGTCTCAGCCTATTGCTATACACATCTGATGTGGCTGTAGTTGTTTTATCACTCTCGTCCTGAAACCAGAACGGACAGATTTCGACTCTGTATCGGAACACTTTGAACTGAAGTAAAGTTTTGTGTTTTATCCGATTTTGGCTGAAATTTTGAAAAGCTGATACAGTATTTCTCAAACACATTGATTGGTTTTTCTTTGTATATTTACAGGCTTGATGCTCCGCGGTAGAATGTTCTTTCTTCAAAATTTTGTCGAAATTAATGCCGAGATGATCGAGTTATTGACCTTTTTCTTTTTTTAGAAACCCTATAATTTTGAATGAAAACATCCAACAAGAGAGTTACTGTGAAGAGCTGTGAGCCTTAAGGTTGAAAAAGCAAAACAGTGCGAAATCACAGAAGCATCTTATTAACTGATTGAGCATTCTTCCCCCTCCCCCCAAAACTCTCTCTCTCTCTCTCTCTCTATCTCTCTCTCCCTCCCTCTCTTAGTGGTCACTCAGTTGAAAGCATATACTAAGAAACGCAAAGACCAAATAGTTCTGAAGGCTGGCTAGTTCTCAAATTTACAAGAAACTAAATGTTACTGCATGTTTATGTACATCTTTTCTCAAAACACGTCAAACTACCAGTAACATACAGCCTGACTTTTACTTTGCCAGAACTGCAATGTATCACTAATAGTCCACTAGTTATGTCAGTAGGCTGTTAGACTCGAAACTGTAAGATCACAGGTTTGAATTAGGGTAGGGTCTTGCCGTTATGTCTTTATTAAAGACATTTTACACATGTTCCTTCCTTCACCCATATGAGAACAGGTTCCCAGCTAAAGCAGTGAAAGATCTTAGCAGTATGAAAATGTTTGAGCGCCCTTACAATGACAGCTTGCACTGAAAGCTTGAAACGAAGCTGTGAATGTTTTTAAATGTAATAGGGTCTGTCGAAGTAATAATAAATTGTGAAGTGCACTGAGCCTACTTAAAGCACGCATATGCACTATTTATTAAACTTATTATCATGCACGGGAGTGGAGCCTGATACACACACATGAGACTCTTTTCTTTTCAATTAGTAACATAGTCTTAGCCAGACAAGGTCATAGTGACACACACTGAAACATACAATCTTTGACTTTGTTGGTAATCTAGACTTTTTATTTACACCAAATATACTCAAGTAGGAAGAGCACAAGTGAAACAATCAATATGGACAATCCAGACAATCTTTGGAGCAACGATTGTCTGACAAAAGATGGAAAGTGTTCCACGCAATAACCGAGTCTGTCTAACATTTACAGACTACTTAGCAATTGGCCTAAGAAAGAATCACCAGGTGGGACTCCCTCACCACACCCGCATGGGGGTCAACTAAGTACACTGATGGCCTACACTGAGAAACTGACTATCAATTTTCAACACCCCCTAAAAAATAAAAATAAAAACATTTGCACGTCTTATCTCACCTGTATCTTCATGTGAAAAAATCATTTTAGAAAAGCATTACAGGACAAGAGCTGTATCTTACATAAAGAAATCAGCATAATGTCTCAGTGGATAGTATACAAAAATAAACTTCAGTCACACAGCTATTATTATTAGATCAAAACCCATGCTGTTCTTTCAACCATTCTGATGGCATTCACATGCTTCACAGGAAATACAGGTCACAGTGACAACAGGAAGCCATACATCAAACACCAAAGCATGTTAAATGTTCTCTCCCCTTAGACAACACCCCTCCTCCCAACAGCCACTTTGCCTATCAATTGAGCCCAAGGGCCGTGTTTTTTCAGTCTGGATACTCCCTCCCACAATGCCCCCC